GTTCACCGACGGCTGGACGGCGCCGGAGTTGTACCGCTCCAGAACGGTGAGCGTCTGGAGCTACACGTCCCAGCTCCTGGAACTGCCGCCGAAGCTCTGTGGGCTATGCCGAGCACCTGCTGGCGCGGCTATGCCGAGCACCTGGCTCGTGGCCCTCGCGGGCCAACTTCTCCTCCTCCTCCTCCTCCTCCTCCTCCTCCTCCTCCTCCTCCTCCTCCTCCTCCTCCCCCTCCTCCTTGGACGCGGTGCTGCTCCCGAGGGGCCCCGGCGTGGAGGCGGCCGCCCTGGCGGCTCGGGCGCGAAGGGCCGTCGACGCCCTGGGCGGCCGGCGGCGCGTGCAAGGCGCGCCTCCCGCGCCACGCCTGGGCGCTCCTGCCCTGCAGCGAGGTGGTCCGCGCGGAGGTGCCGGCCGCGGTGTTCGCGAGTGCTCGAAACTGTGGCGATTGGGTGGAAGTCATGCTCCAATTCGGGGCGCCAAAATAAACCTGCAACATTCCAGCCAAAAAATGCGAGCCCTTTCCAAGGTAAGAGCGGAGCCCGGCGGCAAAAACGCGCCGATCAGAATGCTCGCGTCGACACTTCTCTCGACCAGCGCGTGCGCGACGGGTGGGGGAGGAGCCCCGCGTCCCTCGCCTCGCTCGCTGCCGCGGCCGCGCCTGGCTGCGGTTGCCTCGGGCCGCGGGCGGGGCCGGCGGCAGGGCCTTGCCAGGCGCGAGCCGGCAGAGGCGCACAAGCAACCCTCCCGTCTCGCTTCCTCTCGCTGCTGCTCTGAGCTCGCCGCTGCTGCTGCTTCTGGCTCTCCTCCTCCTCCCCCGCCGCCACCCTTCCCCAGGACCCAGCGTCTCCCGACTGCCTCTCTTACTCGCTCCCTCTATCCATGCTTGATAAAATCCTGCATTCGGCAGCGGGTGGGGAAGTGGTTCGGGTTCGTGGGGGGAGCTTTCGACGAGCGGGTGGTGTGGGCGGAGGTGGTGGCGGTCATTGTGAAGTCTCCCCCCTCGTGGCGCTTCGGGGCGTTTAAGACTTAGACGGGCGGGTGGATCACAGCCACTAGGATGCGTAATCGGACAGGCGGGTGCAGTCTGGTGCGTGAGAATGGCACTGACTCGCTTCGGCACTATTTCTGGTGCTCTCGTCTCGGTAAGCTGGTGGCTCGAAATTCTGGCGGCGCTTTTCGGGCAAATGACGCCCTGCGTAGGCTCGCCCTCGATCAGCCGTCCAAGGCTAGCCTCCGTCGGCTGGCGTTGCTTTTCCACACTCCTCGACTTCTTCACGCTGAGGCCATTTGAAGGGACTTGGCCATAATCCCCTCTGACGAGGCCCGCGCAGTCGGCGAGGCAGCTAAGACAGCCACCGACTTGACGCTTCTTCCTTAACGCTGTGCCTCCTCATCTCCCTGTTCCTACTCCTACGCCTAGCCCTCCTCCTCCTCCCCCTCCTCCTCCTCCTCTTCCTCCTCCTCCTCCTCCTCCTCCTCCTCGCCTCGCAGCCTTTGGTATGTGTCTGATATTGGTTTATTTGTCCTCGGCCAGCTGTTCATGACTTGTGAGCGTTTGTGCCAGTGGCCGAGCGAGAGGATCGTCACCCAGATGGTCAGACTGCCCAAGGAGTCGGGGGGCAGTCGGCTTATCGCGCTGCTGCACACGCTCCTGCGCATCTGGGGGCGGGTGCGCAGGCCCTTGGCTGCGGCCTGGCAGTCGGAGCATCAGGCCGACGCCTTCTGGGGCACAGGTGCTGGTCGGTCGTCTTGCGACTGCGCCTTCGATCTCAACATGGAGGCAGAGATCGGGCACGAGCTGAACGAGGACGTGGTCAACGCTTTCTTGGACATGCTGAAATGCTACGAGACGGTGAGGCTGGACGCTCTGATGGATGAAGCCATCCATGTTGGCTTTCCCCCCCGGCTGTGCTGGATGGCGGTGCAGACGTACGTCCAGCCTCGCCTCATCAAGGCCTATGGTGGCTTGTCCTACGCAGTGGTCTCCTTGCAAGGCATCTTGGCAGGGTGTTCATTGGCTACGACACTGCTCATGGTCCTCCTGTTCCGTAGTATGCGCAGCACGGTGCATGTTTTTAAGAATGTCACGCCCAGAGCGCTGATTGATGATATCAGCTTCCAGTGGGTTGGACATCGGGCTCTGGGGCTGCGGCGGGAGGGGAGGGATCCAATCCGCGAGCTGCATGCCGCCATCCGCGCCTTTGTCGCTTCTGTGAAGCCCCTAGGGCTGATGGTACAGTTCCCCAAGTGTGGCTTTGTAGCCAGCACCGCTCGTGCCAGGAAGCGTTTTGCTAGTTTTGCTGGTCTTTTGAAGCTGGCCTCTAAGAAGGCCATGCGCAACCTTGGGCATGAACTCCACGGGCCGCGGGTCCAGAGGATCCAGGAGCACTCCCGGGTTCGCAAAGTCTGTAAGCGCCAGGCCAAGCTGCTCAGTCTCCGCCGCGCGGTCGGAGATCGAGTGGCTGGCCTCTGGCGCACTGGCCTTATGCCATCTGCGGGGCA